AGCACTCTGTCCTTGAATAAGCCCACAGCCACTGCGCTCAGCTCCATGCAGCACGAAAGAATATATGCTTGTTTACATTCTGTCTGTTGGCAACTTAAATCAATAGAAAGTTTAGCACAAATTACCTGAATCATCTTTTAAAGTAAAAGTTGTCTTAATTTTAATACATTTATTACTAATGTTTAAAGTGTTAGCTTGTTTTCTAATGTTCACACAGCATGTTAATTATATTTTTGATATTGTCAGACTAGAAAATTTTAAATTATTTGTTTATATTTATTAGCTATATTTCTTAAACTTCTCTGCTCCAACATCAAAATTATGACTAACACTCAATTAGTTAATTTGATACTCTAACAATTTAATGATTGAATTACTAAATAAAAATAAAAATTTCCATCTATAATTAAGTCGTTTTGATAACTGGCATAAAAGTTCAACTCTGCATTTTCATAACCCCATTTCCTAGAGAAGCCATCATTAACCATTTAGTGTCATTTCCTCTTGAGCTACTCCATCCACTGAACTACTCCAGCAAGGGCTTACATTTTCTTTAAAAAATGACTACACTCTCTTTAAAATATATCATTTAATTAAGTCTTATTAAAATGAAGCCAAAATGTTAATACCATTTAAATGTACAATAAGATCATTAAATATTTTAAAGTTATAATTTCTGTCTAGGTAAATCAATCTTTTCCATTTTTTTTGTCAATTATTTTCCCACTTTTAAAAAGTGAAAACACATTAAATTTAAAAATCAATGTAACCCTGGCTAGCATAGCTCAGTGGATTGAGCGCGGGCTGCGAACCAAAGTGTCACAGGTTCGATTCCCAGCCAGGGTACATGCCTGGGTTGCAGGCCACAACCGCCAGCAACCGCACATTGATGTCTCTGTCTCTATCTCCCTCCCTTCCCTCTCTAAAAATAAATAAATAAAATCTTTAAAAAATGGCTGTTGTTTAAAAAAATCAATGTAAATTTTAAATTAAATTAAATTTTAATTAAACTGCCCTTGTTCTCACCCAGTAATAGTATGGAAACTAGAGAAAATACACAGAGATAAAACATTAATATCATGCTTCTGTTTTATAGATTCTATAAAATATCACTTATGAAAAAATAGTGGTATTGCTAAAAACGGTTTTGAAAAATGGAGAAGCTGAGGCCTTACAGCACTAGAACACCCTGCACACACTGATGGCTGACTTAAGTCTAAACCCAGGCTGTCTCCCACCCAGTGTTTGGTTTACTCTATGAATCTCCCATTGGAAATAACCACTTTTCTTCTCTCACTGCATTTTGCTTGTATCTTTGAAAAACAAAAACAAAAACAGCTGAATGGAGATTATCTATGCTCAAGAATCCTTTAAAAGTAGTAAAATATCAAGTGATGGGGATTCTACCAAAATCGCCAAAACTTGTACTGGACGTTGTGAATGGTATTGCCTCCATGAGTTAATTTTTACTAATCATCTTCATCTCTCTTCAAAATGCCCCAAATGCAGTGTTAGATGAAGAAAAACATAAAAAACCAAAGCTACATATTATTTGCTTATTAAGAAAATTTTTGTATTCTTTCCCACCCCTATTTTAAAGAAGATTCTTTAAAAACAAAAATGATCAACTACTCCTAATTATCAATGGAATGTGTTCAATGCAGAATATTTGAAAAACACAGAAACATGAAGAATCAGAAAAATATCAACATATTTACCTTACAACAACCTATACTATGTAATGTTAGACATATTTCTTCCTATTTTTAAACGCCTTTCCCCCAAACACAGTTGAGGTTACACTAGATGTAAAGGCTTGCACCTTCCCCCACCTCACATGTCACAACTATCAATTGCTTCTCCATGTCATTAAAAGCTCCTTGTAAAAAAAATTTAATGGCAGGATGCTTCATCTTCTAATTTAACAAATCCCTTAGTATTGATGGGCAGACACTAGATATATATATATATATATTTTAATGAATTAATACAGGACTTTAATGCTTCTTACTTTTAAAGTGTATTCAACATATGGCTTAAGGAGGGTTCTGCAAAGAAGGCAAACTCTTAAAAACACTTAAAATGCAGAGCACATATCCAGTAGGTAAAAAACCAATCATGTCCTCTTCACTGATTTTATCATACTAACTAAGGATTTTACTGGGGGGAGGGGAGAAATAAAGAGAAAGTCACTCTCATCCGCTGGGGTACAAATAAAAATATCCTACAATGATTATAGTTATTTTTCATCTTCCCCATCACAAAAATGGTGAACAAGAGGCACAAACCATAAAGAAAGCCTAATATAGTCAACTAAAATGTTAAAGAGGTAGAAAGTTTAAACAATACTAATGGCCACAAATCTGTAATGCTGAAACTAGTAAAGAACTGACCAAGACGTGGGTGACCTTCTGGGAAGGCAATGGGCAATGCCAACAGACACCAGGCCATGGGCAACACCACCACTCAAAAATCCATACACCTTGACACAGCCGTTCAACTTGTAAACTAAGTAAAAAATAAATTTGAGTTCCAAATGCACTATTGTTTTTAATGGTAAAAAGTGAGGAATAACTTAATGTACATCAACAGAAGACTGGTTAAATAAGTTATAACAGTTCAAACAGCAAATACATCCATTAAAATGTTTTACATGTAAAAATATTTAGTTTATTGTGGTCAAAATACAGGGATTTTTAGAATTGTACATTCAGAACACTGACTTAATCCGCTGGGGTACAGCGGATATATATATATATATATATATGCGCACTTGTATTTATATATCCCCCAAACTGCTGATACTAGTTTTCTTAGGATGATGGGACACTGAACAACTTTAATTTTGTTTTTGCCTATTATGTCTCTTTTCTGGTTTTCACTCAAAGAAATCGTATGTTTCTTATGCGATTTTTTTACATTAAGAAAAACTTTTCTATGTTCAAAAATTATAAAAATTAAAGGTCAAACTAGGAAGTTTGAAAAAACATGATCAAAATCTAATATTAAAGAATGATTCATTCATAAGAAAAACAGGATTCAAATAAGTGAACAAATTAACAAAATAATTAAGAGTAAACAAACATACAGAAAAATTCTTAGTCAAATAAGTGAAAAACAAGACAACATGCTTATCCTCTTATTGAAGTGAAAAGGCATTTTTTGAAAAACACACAATATTAATGTAACATGGAAGAACAGGCATTCTCAAATCCTGTACCAGTCATTTCATTTCTGGGAGTCTAGCAAAAAGAAATGCTCTTAACTATGAAAAAAGCTTTCAGTGAAAGATGTCCATCACAATGTTCCTTGCATAGGTGCTTCTTGACTTATGATGGGTGTAGATCCTGATAAAGCCAATGTAAAACAAGAATATCCTAAGTCACCCTGGCTGGTGTGGCTCAGTGGATTGAGTGTGGGCCTGCTAACCAAAGGGTCACCGGCTTGGTTCCCAGTCAGGACACGTACCTGGGTTGCAGGCCAGGTCCCTAGTAGGGGGTACGTGAGGGGCAACCACACATTGATGTTTCTCTCCCTCTCTTTCTCCTTTCCTTCCCCTCACTCTAAAAATAAATAAAATCTTTAAAAAAATCCTAAGTCAAAAATGTATTTAATACACCTAACCTACCCAACGCCATAGCTTAGCCTAGTCTGTTTCTACTGAACGCACAATGCTTTCACACCACTGGAGCTGGAAAATTGTTAAGTAGAACCACTGTAAGTTAGAGACTGCACACAAAAAACAATGGAAATATGACAGAATATATTTTGGGGTCTAAATATAAGAAGTCACCAAACACTGAAAGTATTTCAAAAAGATTCGATCCACTCTGACACAGAATGATTTTGCTAGAATGTAAGGCATGTAGTGATGTGAATAAATGGTCACTCAACCTAACTCATGGTTTCTCAAAAGATCGGTATCAGTCATAAGGAGCACATTCAAAAGGACTACCAGTGACTATTTTATGTTGTAAACATCTCATTCTTTTCACGGGACAGAAGTTACTTACTAGCAAAAGAAGGATATTCCAGATGGATACACTAAAAAGAGAAGGGCATAAAGGACCAAGAAGATGACACAGATCTTTTCCCAAAAGAGTAATTGCTCCATTTACTGTTCCAATGTCTGTAGGCGGTTACAATGAATTCCGGTACATTCCTGGTATTCCCAGATGCAGATCCATGCAGAATTCAAAGAAATAAAATTTGTACATATTTATTTGTACTGCATGATGTTTTCAGGCCATTTTTAAGGACACAAGTCTGCTTTCTACTATAAGCACTTATGAGAAAAACATAATCATCCTGAATCCCTTTTAAAATAAGGCAGAATTAAATACAAATTAAGAATTAAATATGGCAGTATGCTGTAAACACATAGGTAAGAAAAACCTATCCATGGGGGAGAAACCCCACAAAAATATTGATAATTCACTCATTCATTTGTCCCAACATATCAATTGAACACCTGTCACATACGAGGCACTGCACTCGGCACTGAGATACAAACTCATGCATCCGACACTCACAGTCACTGATACCCCAGAGCTCACACTCTGGTGGAAGTGAGAGGGACCAGTATTCAGATGAGCATGTGCATGTGGGTGACTCCTCTCCCTGACCTTCCCCCTCATTTTTCTTTTGATTACTATCAACCATTCTTATGGATATTCCCTTTAATGATACTCATTTTAAATGACTTGCCTCACATTTTAAGACAAATAAATTAACCATACAAACTGGTCACTATATATCAGATTAGTGTCCAATTCAAATTTCCAGAAGTAAAAGGTAGAATACTCTTCTATTCATGGACTAAGTTCCATACTATGTTCCTAGAGAAGATCAGGGCAACCCTTTCTTGCATGTGCATAATGCACCTTTGCATCTGCCCTGGAAGACCCCGGCCCTGAAAAGTTAACACAATAGAACTACCATCACCAAGTTTGCACTCATTCAAAGAATAAACCAGAATAAAAACACTGACAACACAGACGTGTGAACAGTAATTATAATTAGCCCTTTCTAAAAGAAAAGGTATATATAATAGTACATAACAGAGTAACAATTTAACTCTTTTTTTCCCTTTGTCTTTTTACTCAGCAAAATGTAAAGCAAAGACAATACTTTATCCCAGGTTAACATGCAACCTTAAAAAAAGTTAATGTACATATTAAACATAGAAATTCACCAGTGAAATCTTATTGGTCACACCCTCCACCCCCCGCATCACACATATCTTGACATTGTTCCTTTATTTCATTATAAACAAGGTCCTATATTCCTGGTCACCTGACCCAATGCCTTACATTTTGTAGATTAACAGTTCAGTAAGTTACGGATGGACACAAGAATGTTGTTACAAGTCTAATGAAGTAACACATTTGCAAAGAACTGATTGCACTGCTTTACCAGTGGAGAGGCCCCTACTCCAATCTGCCAGTCCCTCCCACCCTGAGAACAAACATAAATGTCTCCCAACCACCCATGAAGCTGTCTCATCAAGAAGGCCCTGAAGCATTATCTCCCCAGGTATCTAATGTATCAGCACTGGAGAAGTATGGAAGCACCCATGGACTCTAAGATCATCACTTTGCAATATTCCTAGAGTGTAAAATCTTCCTAGGATACAGAGAAACGCAAGTTCATAAAATGATAGAGACAAGACAAATTTTCTGCCTCATCTTGCTTACAAACCTCAAATCAAAACCTTCTATCATATTAGAAATTTCAATACAACAAGCCTAAAAATTTTCAAAAGGGTTTCTAGTTTGTTGCATTAAATGTGGTTTGAATTATGTTAATATACATAGCTCAACTCGGGAAGGGAAGTTACACAAAAACTAGCTGGAACACATTTTCATCTAGTTTTACCTAGGAAAATACACTGAGCAAGGAAGATTACTATTTATAAGAATCTGTCATTTAAAATGAATATAATTAGTAAAATGTATTTTAAGCACAAATCAAATTAGTATATTTTTATCTCTAGCAACCAAAAAATGCCCTCACCAGATATAATTACAGCTTCCTCCTCAATGTGTTATCTTGAACATTAACCCAGAAAATATGTTTAAAAGTGCTTTGCAGGTATCATCTCATCTCAAGGAACCATACAGGGACATATGTAAGAAAAGACTATTTGAATCTAAAGAAATAGTTTCAAGCAAAAATAGTTAGAGGAATTCTGTATATCATCAATGTGAGAAGTTCTGGGGAACAGTATACATTACAATAATTTAAAATCACATACACATTGCATTTTTCCATGCAGGATGATTTAAAATATGAACATAATGTAACTGTAAATCACTGAAAATACACTCAAGTCCTTGCCCCTAGGTTTATAGTCATACTCTATGATTAGAAAAAAAAGAAACAATATAAAAAAAAACATAAAAGGGCTCTAACAGATATTTTGGTTTCTAGGTAGATTCTAAAGAAAGAGGAAGGGTTCTGGCATGCAACCACGCAATGGCTCACAATCTAAATGACACGAATCACTCAAACCTGCTAACCACTAAGTTATGAGAATTAAGAGGCTTTTCTTACATGAGCAACAAATTTTTACTAAGGTTTTACAACACACAGTATAATTTTCTGTGTGTTAACACTATTTTTTAAAACAGAAACAAGAGTCCAGTTTTCTAGTCCCTGCATTAACTAACATCATGGTCACAGAATATTTGTATTAGGAAAGAAAGTGGTTTCACTCATGTGTCTTTAAACTGGTTTGTTGAGGGTTATGATGAGTATTTTCAATTTCAAGGCCTTTTATTCAAATAAAGCACAAACTGGGAGTTAGAAACTCACAGGGCTGTGTCATCAGTAAGACAAGCACATACAATAAATACCATAGAAAACACATATCATTTATTAGAGGACTTACAAATCAACACGAATCTATTTTAGGCACTTCTTGAGTACAGACCATGGGAATTTTCCACCAAGGAACTATCTCGCAGGCAAGACCATAAAGACTGAGGGTTTAGTTTTTAGAATACACAGGGCTAGGCGATTTATAAGAAATGTTGCATAATTAACCCAATTGCATCCTGGTACAATTTCTTTACAATTCCACACACAATTTTTGGATTTAATAGGAGTAGTTACTTTTTAGCATCCGAAGTTTTTAAATTGTCTGTCTTTCCTTTGCTCCACCAGTATGATCTTAAAGTTACCATACATTCCTTGAGGGAGCAAAATATTGAAGCTTTACTTATGTGTAAGTAGAACGTAAGAGAAGTATTTTCTGTATTATATCTGCGTCTACACAATCAACATAAGATAGCTGATGATTTTCATCATTTGTTTATCTTTTTTCTTGAAGTAAACAAAGGGAAAAAATGGAATGTGGTCCATGGATTTAAGGGGGTAAAGATGTTTTCAGGTGAAGTACTATGTATAAATGTGGTCTGACACCTTTTTCCAACAGAGATCACTTGTACTAGTACTCTCTAAAACGTAACCAAGTTTTGGAAGTTGGGAAATGGGAAGATAATACTCATATAAGGTAATCCTTTCCGTATCTAACTTTTTAACTCAAAGAGCTGGCAGAGTCTAGATAGTTTTCTTATCTTTCTGAATCTACTTTTCAGCATACAAAGCTAAAATTAAGAGGCATTAGAATGTAAAATACAGTACAATTTAATAAACTCAACGGCATCTGTATACACATCTGTATACACAGCAAGCCAGCCCTGATGCACTCAACAACTCTGACAGTACTTTCTAATGAGCAAAGCACCAATCAATGAATCAAGCCAGCGCTGGGAGACAACAAAGAGCTAGAGGGCCTACTTACAAACCAGTGGTTTGGGGAGCAATAGATACAGGTAAAGTTTAGCATCCCTCCAGTACAGAGATAACCTGGTTGGCGAATAAAGGTACAGCTGAAGGATGGCTAAACTATGGGAAAGCTGATCCTGAGGCAAGAAGTTCCAGATTATACTTAGAGAGTGGGAGGGATCAAAGTTAAGTCATACAAAAAAATTTTGTCTCTATCCAACCCTGAAAGATGGACTGATGCCAAGATACAACTGGGCAACTAACTGAGAGACGATGACCCCCAAGTCCACAGACAATCTGGGACGTGCTGCTATACCCTATATGCAAAGTAGAACACACTACAGATATATTCCCAAAAATGCCTGCAGAGAAAATTGTCTACAGTGTTTCTATTTACACTAATATATACAGATTTTGAGGTTGTCTGTACTGCATGTGGTTGCTGTAGTCACAGCTGTAAATGTAAAGTGCCTGTAAGTGGGGATAACAGAATCCCATTTCTAGGCATCTTAATTCTATACACTCAGACAAAAAAGAACAGAACATTTCAGGGACCACCTGACTTTCCTCAAGCGCTCTGCCCTTCTCTGTGATCTCAGTGCAGCCACCTACCAGGCACTTCTTAAAGCCAGAAAACAGAAACTCTCCTGCCTCATGCCACACTTCTGAAACCCACTTTAACTACCTGCATTAAAAATGCCAGTCAGCAGTGCTAAAGCTCTTTTTTATTCTTAAGGCAAAATGTCATCATCCTCTACCGACGACCCCCTCTACCCGAAGTACCTGCCTTCATTGTATTCTTTGCCCATCTTGAGAGTCAGAGAAAATAGAAAGAACTGAAAATTTCAAACAAGAATCCTCAACATACTGGGTAAGATATATTTTATAAATGTTATCATGATAAAATTCAACATATTTAAATGCTTATAGCATATGGTTAGTTTTACCAAGATATCAAGAGAAGTCATACAACTTTCAAAATTAGTAGCAAACACGAGATATTTAAATCCAGCCACATGTACAGAGATATGAAACTTTGTTCTTTTCAAAGTTAAGCCTGACCCAAAATAAGATCTTTTGTTTACATCCAAAAGTAGCATATTAAAAATCCAAAAGTATTGCCCTTTGCTTAAGTCCACTTAAGCTACATATAAATGGCCAGTATGACTATTCATGAGGTTCTCCATCTTATTTGGAAGTGTTAAAATGATTTTGATGCATCTTCATACATGAATTTAAATTATTTTCCCGATTGTAATTTTGGTTTTATGCACGAGTATATAGGTAACGCATTTCTAATGCTTAGCCTAGAATGAAATATAGCAAAAAAAACATCATGCTTTGCAAGTGTGGTATAAGATTTCATGCCTTCTCATGATGCTGTCAATAATCTACTACACTGAATCAACGGCAACAATGTGGTGCATGCTTTAAACACCAATCTGAATTAACTTTAGCCAACACACTGATGACCAGGGAATGTGCTGGTGTACGGTTGACTGATGTGACAGCAACCCAAGAGACTGAACTGAGATTATTCAAATTAAAAAAATAAAAAGTATAAAAGGTGTGGATTTGCTGGGCTACTGTACAGACTATTTTTCTCTGATGAAACTGCAATCAATACCTACAACATACATTTCGGTTTTTAAGGGATTTTTTAATATATAATAATTCCTTATAGTGATTTGAAAAAAGTATGAGACTAATGAACAAGTAAAGCTTAGTAATTAAGGATTTACTTTTATAAAAGTTGACAAAAAAATAAAATGTTATACTTGCATTTTGAACATTATACCATAACACAAAACATCCACCGTTAAACACTGATCTCCTATGTCCAACTTAGCCTTAGATATTGAGTATTTTAATTTTATCGAAAGGAACTTTCAAAGTTTTGTCAATGCTTATAGTATATACCTCATTATTTATTCCTCATTAAAATCTTCATGAAATCTCTAGACTGGTATTACAATAAAAGTAATTATTTTTTTCCTGAATATTCTAAAACATGCCAGTTTGGGCTACTGTTCAGATTTTCAAGGAATGAGTACCCAAGAATATGTTTTAATACATTTAGTTAGGTAAGTTTGTTTATAGTCACAACACAAATACCTTTGACTTTCAGATATTGAAAAAATATATAGCTTACATGAACATAGAAGATATTTTTGGCCAAGTTAAGTCTTAGGAAAAATAATGCATTATGTTGATCAATTTTTAAACCAAATTCGTAAAAGCATTAAAAATTTGTATTTTATAATTATCAAACAATACATTCATGTTGTATTAGAAGATAAAAAAACAAATGAAAAATCTTAAAGTATTTCAAGAGTTAAGATATAAACACTTTTAAAATTGTTATCTTTGTTGTTTAGAAAATATGCTTCACTTTTCATTTCAAATTCACTTTAAATGCCTGACATATAATTTAGAAGAATCTAGTTAAATTATTTAATTATATTTATAAGATGACACTTCTCTGGGTAGGCATTTCACACAACAGTTTTCAATTAACACTGAAAAAAAATCACTTGGTAATTGTAATCACAATGAATGACTGATTAATGGATTAACAATTTACTCAGTAATTTAGATGGCATTAAGGTCTAATAAAGGGAACAATATAACTGCTCAATGTGCAACTGTCCCATTGGTAACACTAAGCCAAGAAGTTGACAGATACAGCACTCACCGAGTCACACATTTCCATGTATGCAATTTGATCAACAAGAAAAAAATAGGTACACAATGTCAAACATTTTTTCTTTTTTTAAACAGCAGCTCAATGATTTTTGGGGGGTTGGTCAGTACAAGACACAGTACATAGGGAAAAAGTACAGATTGGCACTTAAACCAATGCCAGTACTCATCTCATTGTTATAATTAAGAATATTATTAATTTTTGTTATTCACTTTTCCTTAGAACATAAATCAAAACCATTAACTTGAAGTTGAGGTATATATACAATACGGACACAAGATTATGCAAAAATACTTTTCATAAGTAATATTACATTTTAAAATATTGGAAACTGAGTATCTGTGCTGATTTGTACTTTGACTTAATCGAACAAGAAGAGAACAACATTCAACTAAGAAGGGTTATACTGATAATAAAGCTGGTAAAATTAAAAATGTCTTCCTCTCCCTTCCTACTTACCACAGGCTACACATGTCCTGAGAGGATTCATTATGAGAAAAATGTCAATCACAGCTTTAAGATTTTGCTTTGGAAGAAACTAATAAGAAAGCAATTGGAAGGTGAGACTTCATCTTCATTTTCAAATAAGTGGTCTTAATTTTTCTTCTTATAGAAAAAGTTTAAATCAGTTTGCTATAAATATATCTGAACCATTAATTTTTGCAGCTTTCAGGTAAAGTCCAGCACTTCGTTTATACAAAGTCTATGAGAAGAGGTCAGCAGAGATCATCTAATCTTAAGTCGTGACATCATCCACTCAAGTCCTTGGCATAATCTATATAGAAGATAAAATAATTTGATTAAATTCTCATCTAAATAGCTATAAACAGCCAACTAAAACAAGTTACCATTTTTCATTTACCTCAACAGTGAAGAGTCAAGAATCAGCAGTATGCAGTATCAGCAGTGCTGTGGTGAGGCCGCACTCTCACACACAGGGCACCTGTGCTTTTCTGTCTGCTTTGTCTCCAGTGCCTAGAACACTGCCTGGCACGTAAAAGCTCAGTGATTATATAAATGCCCATGGAAAGTAATTTAGCAATACATATCAAGAGCATTTAAAATATCAACATTCTCTCTACCTCTCTTTCTACTTCTAGAAATATATCCTAAAAATACATAAGGCATAAAGACAGATTTATGTATAAGACTGTTCATGAAAGCATTTTTATTAGGAAAAAGAAGAATCTAAATGTCTAGAAATAGAGAACATTGAACAAATTATGGAATGTCTGTCTATATGGTAAAATATTAGAAACTTCCTTTCAAAGACTATTTTACAATATGATAAAATGCTTATGATCTAAATAAATAAATAAAAATGGCAGGATATTAAATATATAGAAGAGCTGTTAAAACAAAGTATATATATAACATGTCTGCTACATCTATATATTAAAAAATTTTTTAAGGAAGTAAAATATCATATTGCTAACATCGGTTATTGCCGAACAATGGATAATTGAGCATAATCCAAAATACACAAAGAGATGTTTGTTGTGGTAAAGGAACATAAATGTTTAGCAAGAGGGAAATGGTTGTACATACCATGTTGCAACAAAACACACTGTAACCAAGCATTAAATATTATTTACAAGGCACTTTTACAGATAGAAGGAGTTATGAAAACTCAGATTTTTGTGTATGAGCCTAACAATACAAAATACAGAATTATTAAAAAAAGCAGAGGTAAATAAATTATTGTTTTTGGCTCACACTGTGCTAAGCACTTAATAATATCCATTGCTGTAACATTTCTTCACAATACTGAGATTAGAACCCTTCCCATACTAGAGGAAACCTGGGCTTATAGGGAGGTTAGCAAATGATAGAGGGAAAGTCAAAATGCCGACCAACACCAGAACCAAGAGTCTGGACCGAGGCGGCCAGACTGCAGCAGGCCACGTCTCTGCCCACACCAAACTCGTCCACTTGCCAACCACTGCGAACGGAAGCCCATGTGCACCCGAGGTTGGAAAGATACCAACAGCTACTGGTACCTCTGTCAGAAATGAAACTGCCAGAGCTCACATCCATTCTAACTAATGATATATTTTCTACACGATTTCTCAAAGTATGTGAGTTAAATATTGTATCAATCCTAGATTTGTTTTTGTTGTCAAATTTAGCATTACAGTAAGTGCTTTTGCCCGAAGTCCTTTCATAGATAAAGATACACATGTATACATGTATATTTTCATGTATAAAGATACACATAATGATATATACGGAAATGTAAAGATATATATGGATATATAAAAAGATATATATATATGCATATATATATATATATCTTGATATGTATTAAAACTATTTGACAAAGAAACATGTAACATTTTTAGTTGAATATGTGGACAATTGGTATTATCTATTTTTTTTCTTTAAATGAACAGGTTTGGTTTTTTGAGGTTCTAATTAAGCCCTCCAAACGTCTGTAATTAGGCAATAGTACCTTCTATTTCACTAAGATTCAACTTCATCTCCAATTTAATTATTTTTTTCTTTGTTTTTAAAAGGTACATACATAACAGATTCTAAAGAGAGATCTTAATTTTGGGGTGAGGTTCTTTTGGTGTTAGCAAAGGGTAGAAGCTTGGGACATAACCAGAGAAGTTAGTGGAAATGGGAGAAATTCTCTTCCTTTCAAAAACACGGTGAAAGGTGAATCAATCAGTTATTCAAACTGTATCTGTGCCCCAAGCTTCTGCCCTTTCCTAACACCCGAGGAACCACAAATCCAAATTTAAGAATTCTAGAATCCTTCATCTCAAATTTAATTCTTTTTTCTCTGCTTTTAAATACATACAGATATACCACATTTGGATAATAAACTTCAATGAAAACATTATTTAGCTTGCCCAGCCTTTTATTTTTTTACCGAATTTCTAACCTCCATTCCACCTCTGCTGATAGCACTCTCCATCTTTCTGGTCTTGTCCTTACACTTCACAAGGCTGACAACCACTTCCTAAAATCCTTTCATCTATGGGCATTAGACTACAGCAAAGTTCTCCTTTAGGCACCTACCTTTCTTTCCAGAACCAAGGATCCCCAAGCTACACTCTCCAATTCTAACTTTTTTTTTTTTTAAGTGCAAAAACTCCCTCCGGACACCACCACTGGCAAAGTGTGTATATTCAAAGTAGTCTCACACATGAATCCTCTTCTGTTTCAACGTCTTTTTGCATAAAGTGTGAATTAAATACAATCGGTCTACACGATTCTTAGGAATATATGACATACTGTAAAGAAAACAATCACGACACAGCACAGGCTCAGCCACTGTCAGTTCCTTTCTTACAGTGAGGTTCCCACCCCCATCAAGAACTGTTTCTGACTTCTCCGGATCTCCAAGGCACTCCAACTTCTCTGAACCCCTACAGCAACTATTATCTACATGCTCATACACTAGTTTAGTGTGTTTATGTGCATGTTGTGTGTTTTATTCTTCAAAGAACGAAATAAAAAACTCTCATTGTAAACATGGACTATGTCTTACATCTCTCCCTTATAACATTCTCTACATGACAAACTTAAAATCTGATTTTAAGAGGTAATTCATATTTCTAAGCTAAAGACATGTTATCCACAAGGAAGACTTCTTACCCCTCGCCAGTAAGAGCACAGCATGCCTGGATATGCCACTGGTGATCTTTAATAGAAGTCAGCTTCAGACACTGGGAGATTTCTGCTACAGTCATGCATTCTTTAACATCTTGTTTATTAGCAAAAACAAGCAATCCGGCTTTCCTTAGGTCCTATAAAAGCAAATAAAAGTGTAAAGGCCAGTGCATTTTTCCAGAGATTTTCCAACTTTATGAATAGAATGTTTTGATAATCTTTTAACTTAGAATTTCTCAACTACTTGATAAAAGCAACTCATAGCTCTTGTACTGATGAAAGGTAAACTTCACACTAAACACATTTTAAATAAACCAATCTATACTTTTATGGATTCACTATTTCTTCTAGTCCTATATTCATTTATAGTCCTAAGTGCAATATGTAACAAACAGTCATGTCTTCAAATATGTAACTATCCGTTCCCCCCAACCCTAGACTAGGTGTCCATGACTCCTAAGAACTACTCTTCAGCATGGCACTCACAAGTTTTTCAAAATTCCACTGTAACCTATACTTGAGCTATAGTTATCAATACCCACAGCTAGTACCTTCTGGGTGCACAGGAAATAAACTGACTCACTATATACCAGGTATGCCTTAGAGCCTTAGGGGTGGTACCATCCTAAACCAATCCTATTCATCTTCTGAGTCCTAGCTCCTCTATCTTTGACCATGAACCATGAAGATTTATTAGATTTAAGGTCAACCTTGGGTTGACATTAAACTTATCAAATTCCCCAATTAGAGAGTAAGTTCTACTACTTCTGTTCTTTGACTCTGAGCCAAGTTCTTTAACCTTTCTGAGTTTGTTCCTCATTACCAACATTTACTGAGTATCCAACCTGAGGAAGTTACCCACCACAGGAACCTTTTTCTAAATAAAAATATCTTTAATCCTCACAAGATTGCTATAAGGTAAGTTTTACAATCCCCATTTTACAGATGAGGAAACTAAGCCTCAGATGTAAGTAAATCATACAAGGTCATATAATAGGACTTGTTTTGAGCTAAGAGCTTCCCATTGTAACTGCTGTCCCTCATCTGCAAAATGCTGAGACCACCACCTACCTCTTAGGGATGTTCTTTAAATAAATGAATGAAGTTATTACCTTTAAAGCACTCAGTTTAGTAGCTGGCTTTTGAAGACTGTTCAACAAATATTAGTTCACTTACTGCCCTGAAAATAAGAATTACTTGTGCATAGCCCAAAATGACTAGTATATTTTATTCAGAACACAGACCAAGGTTCTTAGTTTCCTTTGACTATTCCACCCTCTCCTCTCCCAACCCTTTTTACAGTCAGGAACTTCCCTGGTAATCTACTGAAAGTTGTAGATCTTTTACTCATAAAAATGCACACAGATATATATGTAAAGACACCCTAAAGTCCATTTATAGATCATGGGCTAAGAATCCGTGATGTTATACTCAGTGGATTAAACTTTCATGAAATTCTTCACATTCATATATTAAGAGATGCTGTGGTTTTGGTGCTATGCTTGCAAGTTTTCTCAGCTGTGTTGAATGCCATCTTTCTTCTCCTTAGGGATTTTGGTGGGATAGTTTGGTTTCAATCATGTGTATGTGTTTAAAGCAGAAAAGTCTCCAGTAAGTACAAACTGACATTGCTCCACATTATTTTACTCTTGTTAAAATAGTCTCATTGACTTCATTGATCCTTTCTGATGGAAATAAACAATATACGTGGTAAAAAAGACTTACGTAAAATGTTTCCTATGACAATGGAGCCTCTTAGTTACAGTGCCCTCTGCAGGATGGCAGCTGTGGTACATGACAGTGACCTGAATAGCATTGTCAGAAAAAAATACTCTACAGCAGCCAATTTTCAACGTGTATGCAGCAAGAGGCACACTGGTGCCTCGAAAAGTTTTAAAATGCAAAACCTATCTAGTCAGGAGCACTGACCTCTTTTCCCTTAGGCTGACAAATAAAATAATGACAATAGACAACACAACAACATCTGGTGTGAATGAATCAAAATTATACCTATATATATTTTTTGTCAGATGGGCATAAAATATATTTTTGGTGTGCTACAGAGTTTTAGTAATTATTTTATGTGTGCCATGAGATGAAAAAGATTGAAAATCGCTGCTCTAGTATGTTAATTTTTAAGATTTCACACTCAATTTGTTTTACCTAATAGTTCAGTTTACCTGTTCATATAAAAGGCAAAAATCTGAATGGATGGCCTGCACCTAGTGTGAGTGTGGTGTATTCACCATCAAGGATACAGGCATTTTTTTTCTCTTATCGTAAACAGAAATGGAACAGTATCAATAGTTGATATGTGGTGGAATCAGAGTAGATGGACTTTCCATGGATTTAATTCCTATCTTCCAGGTTTCAATATCTCTTGCTAGTGTCTGCTGAAATCTTTTATATAGGTCAGGATTGCTAATGCTGGCACGTTTAAAGAACAACAGTTTGACAACAGAAATACTTGGCACAAGTTGGGAAACATTAAGTTTATTCTTATTTATAAATAATCTATATTTCTTACTTTTAGTGATTGAATTATTTAAAGAAGCCTCTGGACTACAATTTGAAAAGCGTAAGAAATAGTTTTTTATTGAAAGATCTCCAATCCTCTCCACCCCCACAATGAATATAATCTTTCTAAGCCTCATAGGCTCAAACTTTTTTATTGGTGTTTTTTATTAAAAAAAAAAAACAACCCAACAGATATTTTACCTATTTTTAACTATTTGGGAAGAGAGGAAAGAAAATAGTCCTTTACTTTTTAATTAAATAACCTCAGAACCAATTATGCATGATAATAGTAAAAAAAGAGTTATATTGGATCAAGGCCGTTCATCAATTTAACAAGAAGTCAAAGTACAAGGTGCACAGTGGTGATCTTGTGTACATCAGCCATTTTCAACACTTTTAAGAACTTTCTGCTACATGTTACAGATTTCTGGTTTTAAGAGTTTAAAAATATATTTTAGTTTAGTCAAGAAGATGAAACATAGCACATGCAAGATATATTTACTTAGCATCTTCTATATGCCATATGTAGTTGTCGATTTGTTCCTCAAAGCTATATTTGTGAAGATAATTCCTAGAAGTTGAGTCATTCTGAATAAAATTTCATCTGTCCTTTTGTGTTTGGAATTATTTTAAAATTCATGAGCTTCAAAGTTTTGCACTTCATTTAAGATGAAGCTTACAGTAATATTTAAAAACATTTTATAGTTTTGTATTTAATAGTACTTTTTGAGAACCACTATGAGTGATGATAAGATTTTCTTGGTTATTGTGGTATGCATAAAACATCTGACTAACCCCATGTCAAAATTTGTTTTTCATTAATACATTCTTGTTCTTTCATCCATTTGTTCCCCTCCAGATCTCTATTGGCTCTTCTTCACCCCTTTTTGTGACTTACTCTAGGTCCCAACTTCATTTGTAATTCCTCTCTTCTCTGGTAATCTCCTCATTCAGTTTCCTTTCACTTCCCAACTAGGCCCTACTTGTAGTACCCCTCTCCCCGATCCCCCATCAAAGATCCTGAAAGATGAGAATGCTTAAATTCAAATCCTGGCTTTTAAAAAGCTGGTCAAGTCACATAAACCTCTGGGCCTTAGTGTACTCATCCATAACATGCATTTTATTGACCTGCCCAAGTTAATGCCCTGGGCAAGTAAAATTCAGTGACTTTCTTTGAGCCCTTACTACTTTATATACTAATCCTGCTGCATACTGGCCAATTAGAGTAAGAATTAAATAGGGAGGCTACCTGTTAACAGAGTGAAAAAACATAGCTGAGACAAGTATGTGTGTCTTAGTTTTCTTTTTCTAAAATCTTCACAGAACAACATGAAATGACCCTTTGATATTAACTGAAAAACTGTTGCATTTTTGTAAAGTACAAAGGGGAAATAAAAAAATCCTTAGTTTTGTGCCTCTTTCATAGTTTGTTTCCCAAACTGTAATTGCAACCTGTTGAATGCATGCATAATGGCAAGATGTATTTTTTAACCACCATCTCAAAGGGGTTTAAAAACCAGTCCCAAACAGGGGGAAGCACACGCTGGTGGGCATGATCACCACAGAAATACAGGAACTTCAATTTACATAAACATGTCACTAGCTTTCCTTAAGTTTTGAACAGTTGCTTGAAACATACCAAAATTCTTAATGCAAATCTCAAAAGTAAATCATCAAGTCAATATTAATATAAAGCTTTTCTTACAAAGATATCCCAGTTTTCTTAAGCTTTATTAAACTTCTACTAAAATAAAAATGATATACATCTAAATATTCACTTTTCTATTTCCACCTATAATTGAGTTTATTCCATCTGCAATAAAAAGCATTAAAAATATAATAAATTGTCACTGTAGTAAACGTTACATAATTTGATAGTTACTAATATTGACTATATCCTTCAGTGTATAAAATTTTTAAACTCTGCTACCAGGGATCTTTCTTCAGGACTAAGCAAATGTGGATAGTCAGACAAGCTTGCTTCGTCCAAGGACAGTATCAGGGGGAAAGAAAAGCAGCAATGTTTAAATGTCAGCCTAATAACTGAGTTACAACCAAGACTTGCCATGTGTCTTGAGACTTTAAAATCTCATTTCCAACGATAACCCTTTGTATAATTAATCTATTCAAAATGTTTTTTAAAAACCTATTTAGGTAGTTTTGCTCAGGAAAACCTCTACACCAAATTTATGTGAGATACATGAACTAACATTTGACAAATGACTCCACAATCTTTCTGCTGCTTCCAGATACAATTCCAATTTTAAAAAGTGTCAAATTATAAAGCAGGCATGGCCAGCAGATAAATGCTTTTTCCTTAAAATTTTGAAATAGTATCCTCATGAGAAAGTAGAAGAAGAAATGTGATAGAAATACCCCACAAATACATGTTTTGCCAGAAATCTACTTACCTCATGCGCTAACATTTTATAGAGTTCTTCTCTAGTTACAGAAATCCTTTCTCTGTCTGTGCTGTCCACAACAACTATTACAAACTAAAATAATTACAAAAAAATCATTAGTGATTATATAATTTGACATTTGTAAAGTTTATAAAGAACTATCAATAAATTAGAACCTAGTGGTATGGCATTATTAGAAAACCAGAGATACCTACTATATAAATCATGAAGCCTACAGGTCTAATCAATTTCTACTTCAAATGTATTTTCTAAATTTTCAGAGAAAAACAGGAGAAAAGAGAATACATGCTAACATTCTATTAGAACATTCTGCTAAAATTTTAACCAATACATAACAAGATTGTATTCATATCAGTCTAATAAATGAGTTACAATAATGACTTGCTGTTGTCTGTGAGACTTTAAAATCTCATTTCCAATGATAATCCTCTACATTTACACTGTAAGTCAGTAAGGAAAAACAGATTGTGGTCCTATATTTTCAGTTACTTCTAGATAAATATTATTTATTAATATCAATTTGAAAATCTAAAATGGCATGGGTATGGGAGTACAGTAACGTGACAGTTAATTTTTAAAAATCAACAAATTATAAGAATAAATCTATACCTAAAGTTGCCTTCTCTTCTTTATATAAATGGCACCTGCTACAGGCAAGCACAGCTTTTTCCTGCAGGGGTGAGAAGACTAGCATCCTGGCACTGAAAGTGCAATGGAAAGAGCTGTCCAGGACTAAGCTACATTGTACCCCTTCCTCAACTTCACTGAAAGGGAAACAGGAGCAGATACACTTTATGATGGCACATGTAATAGCCAAGTTAATTCAGACTGCCTATTTTTAACACGCACTATTTATTTTTTAGAACTAGTTTTTTGTTTCCAAATAAACCACTATAATCTTAAGTCTTTTCTATTCTTCAGATTTCATGAATCACAAAGTAGATGAGTAAGAGAACAACTATTTTACCTCTTTTCTCACTTGATATCTTACTGATATGTGGCTTTATTACCGCAAGACTCATTCTATTCCAAGGTATTTTATATAATAAAGCTATTAATCTTCAAAGTGTTGCCATGAATTTGATACCTGCAGCATTAAATTTAGGAATGGTACCCATATCTACCTTTCTTTCTACCAAAAACATGATCAAATATGTTATGGAGTTTTAGGGGATCAGGTCATCAGTTGTCATTAATTGTGTCTTACTGACAATATTCATCTTTGTATACATTTGGAGTTTTATTAACTTAAAATCAGCAGTATAAAACAATTGTCACAGCCTTTCAATTTACAAGGTCTATACAATGAAGGTCTGAAATGTCCTTGGTCTGAAATTTCCTTTTGGGAAATAGCATTTATAAATAAAAAAATGGTTTTATCTAAATTGCTTTGTAACCAAAAGAAAAAAATTCTTTAATGTGCAATTATGTTGCATAAAAGAAAATACATAATAAGATTTTGGTCAGGATTGAAACATCCTCTACACAAAAATAAATGGTAAAAAAGAAAAGAAATTATAAACTGTGAGATAGACTTCATTATATAAACAACTACTTAAAAGAATTTCTAGGATCAATACACACTCAGATGCATCAATCACCAATTTTCCCTAGAAAGGTTAAATGAGAAGGATATACAGAACAAGGGCGCTAAAACAGGGAATCAAAGATACCACTACGTTTAAACTTCATTTATATTCACACACTGATATTTGAAAAAGCTAACTATGAGTTCATATCTAGAAGGTGTTTCTAAAGCATTCTTCTCATAGAAGTTCTAGTATATTAAGAAACATTACCTCTGTGTTAGTATAGTAAGTGTTCCAGGAAGAACGAAGAGATTCTTGGCCACCAATATCCCACATCAGGAATCGTGTATTATTAATCACTATCTCTTCTACATTGCTTCCTATTGTCGGGGATGTATGTACAACTTCATTCATAGAACTGAAGAAAAAAAAAAGATTCGAGTATATTATAATTAGCAAGGAAGTTGATTGTCTGAATATTTTTCAATTAAGGGATAAATCAGCACAACCTCCTTTTATTGGGTTGGCCAAAAAGTCCACTGCATTTTTCCTATAAAAGACATATTTTTTATTTTCACCAATAACTTTATGATCTGGATCTTTTGAGTATGTTGGCTTTCTCCTGATTTTGGCTTCTAGTGGGTAGAGGCCAGGGGTGCTACTAAACATCTTCCAATGCATAAGACAGCCCCACAGCAAAGAATTATTTGGTTAAAATGTCAATAGTACCTACAACCTTTGCAAATCAGTTTTGACACGTTCGATCCGTCACAGCACCTTCTCCATACACTGTGCAAACCTTTTTTTTTTCATTTCAGTTGTGTTCTTACCTTTCTTGAAATAATAAAGCATAGTAGACCAAAAATGTGGTGTGTTTTCTTCCATCTTCAATATTAAAATGGCTACACAAAAATTTATCAATTTGGATGTTTTTTTGTAAATGTACACTGATATGAGAGCTGTCACAATACAATCTAAAAAAAATTGTTTCAAATGAAGTTAAAGACAACTAAGCCCTACTACAGCAATCATATGGAAAAAAAAACTAAAAACACTTCTTGGCCAACCCAATATATCTTATACCCCCATCCCTTTTCCAGTAGCTCATAAGAGTGAGCTAAGGGGTTAAAGTGAGGTGGAACTAGGTAGAGGGCTATCTGCAATACTCTATATTCACTCCAGAAAACTATATAAACACATGTTTCTCTACTTTCTACAAGCAAAACAATTGAACAACATTCTCAATGTCATATAAATGTCAACTCTCTAGAAACAGTTGCTTAAATTAGGTTCTTTGTTTATGGTCAACCTGCCTTTGTTTACAAAGTAACTTAGATTCCATATAATTTTTTTATTGCTTTCATTAATCAAATACCACCCAAGCAGAAAAAGTAACTACAAACAATAAAATAAACATTTTTAAAACAGTCACTACTTACAATTGGTAAAGGATGGTGGTTTTCCCTGCATTATCCAGCCCAACAATGATGACTTTGTGCTCTGAAATAAAAAAACAAAACCCACCAGTAAGTTATTAAAAACATTTTTAAATATGCTATTTCATCCATTCTTTCCAGCTATTGTATAACTCAGTGAGTGGCACTTTAACCTTCTTGGAACGCAAAAGAACATCCTGGCAAGACTAGCAGAAGTGTGTCATTAGTCTCACCTTCCCTTTGCTTCTGTGGAGCAGCCTGAAATCTCTTTGAAGGGTATTCCAATGCAGAATCCAGAGATCTTGAATCTCTTCATCTCACCTCAACACCTACAAGCCACATTCATTACCAGTTTTATCCACTCCCTCTCAAGACTTGTGTCTATATTTGAGTTTTCATGTGTTTTTACAATAAAGCACCAATGGCTGTTTTTAACAGCTTCCTAATTTTAAGGTATAACATGTAGGTCACAGTGAAAACTATTGAATTAAGAAGTAATTGTGGAATGGGCTCGAAGATAAAGGTACCAACTCCATGGTGAAAAGCCAGCTTATTCCCCCCAAAATAGGGTTAGATTATTCACACTTTTCAATATAGGCATACCTCAAAATACTGTATGTTCAGTTCCATACTACTGCAATAAAGTGAATATTACAATAAAGTGAGTCACACAAATTTTTGGTTCCCCAGGGTATATTAGTTGTATTTACACTATACAGTAGTCTCTTAAGTGTACAATAGCACTATGTCTTAAAAAACAGACAGTAAAAAATACTTTATTGCTCAAAAATACTAACCATCATCTGAGCCTTCAGAGAGCAGTAATCTTTTTGCTTGCCTTGATGTTGGTGGCTGCTGGCGGATCAGGGTGGTGGTTGCTGACGGTTGGGGTGGCTGTGGCAATTTCTTAAAGTGAGACAACAGTGAAGTCTGCCGTATCAACTGACTCTTCCTTTCATGAACAATTTCTTTGCAGTATACAGTGCTGTTTGATAGCATTTTATACACAGAACTTCTTTCAAAATTAGAGTCAACCCCCTTACACCATCTCAACTTTACTGCATACATTCTTATAATACTCTAAAATCCCTTGTTGTCACTTCAATATTCTTCACAGCATTTTTACCAGTAGATTCCATGTCAAGAAACCATGCTCTTTACTCATCCATAAGAGGCAACTCTTCATCCCCGTAACGTTTTATCATGAGATTGCAGCAATTCAGTCACACCTTTAGGCTCCACTTCTAGTTCTAGTTCTCTTCCTAGTTCCACCACAGCTGCAGTTACTTCCTCCACTGAAGTCTTGAACTCCTCAGTCATCCACGAGGGTTGGAATCAACTTCTTCCAAACTCCTGTAAATGTGGATATTTTGGTCTCTTTCCATTAACCACAAATGTTCTTAATGGCATCTAGAATGGTGAATCCTTTCCCGAAGTTTTCAACTTACTTTGCCCAAATGCACCACAGAAATCACAATCTATGGCAAATATTACCTTACAAAATGTATTTATTATGTGAGACTCGAAACTTGAAATGACTCTTTGATCAGTGGGCCACAGAATGACATTTGTTAGCAAGCATGAGAACATTAATCTCATCACACATCACCACACCTCTTGGGAGACCAGGTGCACTGTCAGTGAGCAGTAATATTTTGAAAGGAATCTTTTTTTCTAAGCAGTAGGTCTCAACAGTGGGCTTACAATATTCAGTAACCCATGTTGTTTATAGGGAAGAGGCAGAGTAGATTCAGCAAAATTATTAAGGGCTCTAGAACCTTGGAATGGTAAATGAACACCGCCTTCAACTGCAAGTTGCCAGTGGCATTAACTCCCAACAAGCCACCCTGTCCCTTGAAACATTAAAGCCAGGCATTGATTTCTCCTCTCTAGCTACTGAAAATCCTAGATGGCATCCTTTTTTGTTGTACGGCTGCTTCACCAGCATTGAAAATATGTTGTTTAGTGTAGCCATCTTCATTAGTTGACCTGCCCAGATCTTCTGGATAACTTGCTACAGCTTAGACATCAGTACTTGCTGCTTCACCTTGAACTATTACATTATGGAAACAGCTTTTCCTTAAACCTCATGAACTAACCTCTGCTAGTGTCAAACACTTCTTCTATAGCTTCCCCACCTCTTAGCCTTCATATGGAATTCAATGGAGTTAGGGCTTTGCTCTGGCTTCAGGGAATGTTGTGGGTACTTGAACTATCCAGACCACTAAAACTTTCTCCCTATCAGCAATAAGGCTATTTCACTTTCTTTTATTTTAAATTCATGTATTTATTTTTAGAGAGAGGAGGCTGAGAGGGAGAGAGACATCAATGTGTGGTTGCCTCTCAAATGCCCCCAACTGGAGACCTGGCCCACAAACCCAGGCATGTGTCCTGACTGGGAATTGAACCGGTGACCTTTTGGTTCGCAGGCTGGTGCTCAATCCACAGAGCCATACCAGCCAGGACCTGTTTCATGTTCTTTATTCATGTGTTCACTGGAGTAGCACTTTTAATTTCTTTTAAGAACTCTCCATTTGTATTCACAATTTGGCTAACCGGTGCACAAGGCCTAGCTTTTGGCTCATCTCAGCTTTCGACATGTCTTCCTCGAGAGGCTTAATCATTTCTAGCTTTTAATTTAAACTGAGAGACATGAAACTCTTCCTTTCACTTGAATATTAGAAGCCATTGTAAGGTTATTAACTGGCCTAATTTCAATATTATTGTGTCAGGGACAAGGGAGGTCGGAGCAGAGAGACAGAGATGAGGGAATAGTCAGTAGGTGAAGCAGTCAGAACACAGACAACATTTACTGAGTTTGCTGTCTTATATGAATGGGCACTGTTCGTTGTGCCCCAAAATAATTACAACAGTAACCCAAAGATCACTGATCATAGATCACCATAACAAATTTAATAAAAATGTTGAAATATTGCGAGAATCACCAAAATGTGACACAGAGACAAAAAGTGAGAAAATGCTGTTGGAAAAATGGCACCAATAGCTCAACACAAGGCTGTCACCACAAGCCTTTAATCTGTGAAAAACAGCTGTGTGCAAAGGGCAATAAAATGAGGTATGCCTAAATCACCTTTAAAAAAAAAACAAAACACCTTACTAGAGGGCATTTTTTCATTGCTTTCAGAGAGAAAGGAAGAAATGGGAAGGGATGGAGAGACAGAGACATACACATCAATTGGCTGCCTTCCCCTACATGCCCCAACTGGGGATTAAACCTACAACCTAGGCATGTGCCCTGACTGGGAATCACACCCGTGACCTATGGTCTATGGGACAATGCTCCAACCACCTGAGCCATCCCAGCCAGGGCTAAATCAACTTTTTTTTTACTTGCCTTTAGGCTTTTTCACCATCCCAGCCTATTCTAATTACCAAGATGGAACAGTATTTTATGCGAAACATAAATTTGTAGCCCCAAAGTATTATAATGTACTTTAAAACAAATACTCTACAGAACCTAAAATATAATATGCATACTAAGAGATGTTATTATGAGCAAATGCAATAAATTTTTTGGCTATTCCAATTCTTTGATGCACATGATTTATTACAAGTTTACTGCTTAGTATGATTTTTCTTTTAGACTAACTGTGCCACAGCATTCTTACAGATAAGCCAAACAACTCTACGCTATTACAATCCTTGGATGGAATTTAGAGTTGCCATTTTGGCTTCAGTTTCCTAATCAGTACTTTACTGTTTGGTCATGAAAATGCTTCCAGTTTCACTTATTTCCTTTTCATACACCCAGGCAGCCTACAGTTCCATTTGTTGCTAGTTTCTAAGGGTCAATATACATCTTTCCAACTACCAGTCAGTGAATTTAGCAAAACAAACAAATGAAAATCATGTCATCCTGGAGGCACAAATACTAAGGCAAGTAAGTTGAGAGTCATCCTGATTCTTCATTCTCACCAAACTATGACTAAGGATTCTCATCCTCTTACCCAAACTATGACTAAGCCCTGTTGATTCTCACATACAGCAAAAAGTCCACTTTTGTCACATTCACTATAGTTCTCTCAGGCCATTGCAGATTCTGGAATACAGCATGTGCCTCGCACGGTGTGAATGAATAAATAAATCTAGAAAATTTAAAGACTGGAAGGCAGATAACCGATGAAGTCACTAGGTACAGGGTCTGGCAGAAGTAACGCCATTGAGTGTGGCTGGCAGGGTACACAGATGTCTCGCATGAGATGGACAGCAATTTGAACATTTCACCTAAAATGTCATGGTGCGCTTGAGTGTGATATTATTACAGAATTACAAGCTTATGATTTGGTAATAAAAATTTTTATGTAATAAAAACAGGCATTATTTGTGCCAGACCGTGTATTAAATATTCCATTTTTAAATCTCAAAGTATCATTTAAAAAAAAACCCAAAGTTTGAAAATAAACTTGCTATTTATAGGAAAGGTAGTGAAGATTCAGGGAAAAAACCCAACACATCTTTTGTATTTAGAAGTTGCTGAATAAAAAGCAATTATACATGGCAAGATGAGAAAACAGAAACCACAGAATTTGAATTTGCAAAGTTTAATGTAAAGAAAATAACTATTACAGGGGTTGGAGTATTGAAGGATTGGCTAATAAGAGCTAACTCTGAAGATTACAGGAATGTCAAATCCATGGAGTACTAACTACCCCCGAGGGCTGACATAGAGCTTCCTCCAGCTCCCCAGGACTGAGATGTAGACTTTGCTGGAGGGCCGGGCTATGGCTCTCTGAATGTCAGAGAAGCAGCTGTGCAGACTTGCCAGTGTATTTTATGCATTTTGCCGGAGGGTCTCCATCCTGAAATCAACTGAATTGGGTCCTATGGGAAGCTGCTGGCTGCTGCTGACCATTATGCAGTGCAAGAACCAGCCTCTGAAGCAGCGGTTCACAGTCCAAGAGCAGGGCAAATCCTGCTGAGGGCACACTTAAACCAGGAAGAAAAACCCACTCCTCCTGCAGAGTCCCTCCAATGCTGTCTGACAAAGCCCAATGTTCTGTCAGCTGGCAAAAGACAAGGACTTGAAGGACCCAGCTCCATAACCAAAGCATGCACAAAGAGTGAATTTGGAGCTACAATGTCTAATAACTAGCACAGTCCACCCCTTTGGCCACTCAGTTTCTATATGTACTGTTCTATACATTTGAACTCCTATACAATAAAAAGAAATAAATTAAAAAAGAAAAAAAAAGAAGAGGTGGCTTTCCAGCACCAGGCTCTGGAAGCACAAACAGTTACTCCAGAACTCATTTACTACTTACCTCTCCTCTAAGAACCAATCAGAAAATGATACAAGGTTATCAATGGGAACAATTTCCCAACTTCTTTCATAGTTCATGTTAGTGCCAGAAAGTTCTTCCTTTATCTAACATGAACCTTTCTTATACAAAGAAAGTCTGTTGGATTTTGTTGTGTTTGGAGAGCAATAATTCAGGCACTAGATGTAAAATCCCAAGTCTATCACTTTTCATTGTAGTGCCTTAAGCAAACAAGTTACCTAATGTTTCTTGGCCCTTATAAAATGGTGAGAGTACCTACCTCAGTAGGCTTGTTGTGCAGAGTAAATCAGTTAAGACTAAATCAACTAATCTGCGTTTGGTATTTACAACCTAATCTTGCATAAATCAGTTAACGATATTATTTTATCTAGAGAGATGGAGCTAGCTTATTTTCCATCTCCCCAAACAAGAATGAATGCTCCACAAAGGCAGGAGGTTTTTCCTGTTTTGTTCCCTGCTTTATGTCCACCACCTCCTGACACAAAAGAGGTGCTCAAAAATACTTACTTAATAAACAAATCAACCATGGATCACATGCCCTTCTATTCTAAAATACAGTCCTAAAAATTTATAGTTTAGTAGCTCTAAAATGGTTACCAGTGTGGTCGGGGACGAAAGACATGATACCAATCTCTTCTTGAAGAAAGTATCAGCAACATATTTCTTCAGTGTTTTAACTTGCCTAGGTCTGACATTTACAAGTTGCATGGCTCAGTAAAATCACTCCACTGGAACCTCAGTTTCCTCTTTTTAGTGGAAAAGAGTACTCCTTCAAAGGACTGTTGAAGCTTTTCTATTTAAAGTGATGCATACAACAGCATCTATAACAAAGCTTATACTCTATTTTATTTAAATAGGTATTATCTACATGCAAACTCTGGTTTCTCAAGTGTGGGCAGTATGCAATTAACTTTCACTGTGCATTCAACCTATCTACCTTTAAAATGAGAAAGATGTTCTAAAGAGGTTTCAGAAAAAAGAACTAAGGTACAGACTGTTTCACCAGCATGTCAAATTCTGTAATCCCCCAAATCTTCCTTCCAAGAGTTTATGTGAAAAGAATATAGGATTGTGTTCTGTATCTTCTGAATGTAAAATAAAGCATTATATATATATATATATATATATATATTACATATATTCAGTTTAACAGAGAACCAAAAAGACCAACAAGCATCTGACATTAGATTTAATAGTATTTTGAAAAGTGACCCTACTGATAACACAGCCACCAAGAGAAATAGTTTATTCATATTTTTACAATATTGACATCTAAATGTCTAAAACTTAACTTCATTAATTCCTCTTACTATTAATTTCCCAGCACTGAAATAAATGTCCACACAAAAATTACTGCAAAATACAGGTAATAAGAACACTGTATTAGTAGATTTTTGGTGCAACAACACACACATCCATATTTTTTTTACTATTGGCAAGTAGCTGTTGGCAAAGATCTAATTCATTCTTAAGTTACAAAGACAAATAATTTTATCATTGACTCAAATTAGAAAGTGGAGATATCTAATTTGCTGCAGTACTAGAGTCAATTGACAAGCAAACTCTAAATTTCATAGCAGAGTTGGAACTAGCTTCATTTTTAAAATAATGGATGTTAAAACTAGGATAGATCTTATCTACTATGAGCACCACCGTTTTATGGCAATGTAAGTTTCAATACTTGACACGTAGAGATCAAGTTTTCAAGATGTGTAGGCTCCAAGGTCACAGAGTCAAATCCCTGGTGTTCTAGGTGAGAACACCTAGACCCGGAGAGGTTAAGTGACCGGCTGACTCCTACTCCACTTCTCCCAACAGAAACAGCTAGCTGGATACAGTACAGATTAGAACCAGTTTTCTCTACTCTATGAAAAATCTCCACATTAGAAGAATAACTGGAAATATTATTCTTCCATTGAGTATCATGTGATCTGCACTATCATTTTTATTTTTGAAACAGAAACACGAGTGATCACAAGTTCAAATTCTGCTACCTTCCTGTCACTGTCTTATATAGGCGACGCTGAATCATGAAGGAGGAGGTGGGGTCAGCAGTTGTGCATAACAAATGCCACCGTTCATTAAGTATTGGAAAACTTTGGGATGTGACACCACTACCAGCTTACACAAGAGAAAAACGCAAACTAAGCTACTGGCAGCAGGAATAGTGAATCACTCAACTTGAGTTAAGAAACAAAGTACACCACTAACTATATTGTATCTTAATGACTATGGAGGCTTTTCATTAAAATTGTATCCTTCCCCTAGTTTTATACACTCATTTTGTAACAAATTTTAATACACCTAATATGCATTTCAAGACGATATTTGAGTTTAGATAAATTTAAGCATCCCTATACAGTAATACACTCTATACTTGTAGAGTATAATTTGCTGGTTACCCACGGTTAACAAATGTTTCACATAGTATAGTTTTCAAATGCTTTACGTGAAACACTTAACCCAACCGAAACAAAAAACCCCACTCGACTTAAATATGCGACACAAGTAGGAAAATGACCTCAAGCTTAACTTTAAACACAGATAGATATAAATAAATACTGCAATGAGGTCCACCACAATCCAGGATGCAGAAGTGTTCCTGGGGGGGGGGGGGCGTGGAGAGGGTGGTAGAGGTGCAGGGAAAGTTCCTAAGCCTGAGGTGCATTGGCGAGTGAAGAGCGATTCCTTGTGTTTTCCGCATTCTGCCACCCTCGGTCGCTCGGTGGTGCGGCGGGGTAATAACCTACAACCTTCCTCCCAGAGCACCCCAGCATTTCTTCATGGAGTGCAAACCCAATTGCCGAAGGAAGAGGGACTAAAAGGCCAGGCTGTGCCACTCAGGGACTTCAGACACGAAATTTTTGCCACCCCCTACCGAAATCGGAGCAATGGGTGTATTCGAGGAAAGGATTTCTTGGGAAGGTCCCCTAACACAAAGGGCTGCGAGTCGGGATCCATTCCCGAGCTGAGAGTGGGATTGAACAACCCAGGCCCGCACCCTAGCTGCCAGCACCCAGCGCAGAGACCGCGCGCGACCGCGCCGCCCACGCTCCGGAAGTATTTGGAGACCCCGACTCACCCGGCCAAAGGTGACCCTCTCCCCCACCCTACGCCCTCGGCCCGAGCCCCTCACCCTGGTGATTGAACAGTCTCCATATCCTGGTGAAGAGAATTCCCATTCTCGGGCAGCGGACCCCCCTCCAGCCACCCGGTCGCCTAGCCTCCCCCGGCTTAGGCTGACGGGGAGGAGAGAGACGCGCCGCAGCCTTCGCCTCCGCTGCCGCTGCTCCCAAGCTGGCCGCCGGCGCGCTTCCTAGGAACCGAAGGGAGGCCGAACCCCAGGCCGCCCAGCCGCGCGCGAGGCCCCGCCGCTGCTGCCGCGGCACCCGCCTGGCTCGCGGACATCGCCGCCGCCTTGTCTGCGGCGAGCCTCGCAGGCCACCGTCCTCCCCCAGCTCCTCTTGGGCGGCTGCGGTGTCGGCGACCAAGCGGGCGGGGAATGGGAGTGGGGGCGGGTGGGACGGGAAGGCGCACGCGCAGGCGCGCGGCCGGAGGGGCGGGGCCTGGGAAAGGGCGCTCAGCGGGCCCTCGCTTAACTAGACTACCTATAGGCTGCGGGACTGAACCCTAGGTTTCTGGCAACGTGGGCTGCAGGTTTGGTGCAGATGGTCTCCACTGCGTGGTATGGCTTTTCCACTCTCCGCTCCTACCCCGAATTTTGTTTTTCTCCTCAGAACCATAATGTAAACATGTTGAGTGCCCAGTTCCCATCCCCAACGCTTCACGCACACTACACCAAAAGCCCCGTGTCCTACATCTCAAAGGCATAGAGCTCCAGCAGGAACTCTTAGAGGAGGTTTGTATCTTTCCCAAACCTCTGCCCCCACACCCAGCAGATAGCCTTACCTAGGCAGTTGTCCTATGGTCTTTTTTGAACCTGAGGCTCTTCCCCCTCCAGTCTCCGATTTTCTTGTCAGTCTTCCCCCAAACAACAATTTCGATCAAGTCACAACCATGTTTAAAAATCATTACTGGCACCAAAGCAGTTTGGCCAGGAGTCCAAACACTTGAAATACTTGCACTCTGCAATATGACCCCAGCTGTCCTTTTCAGCTGTAATTTCCATTATTCCAAGCTGGTTAAACAGCTGATCAGATGTTCTCTCTGCTTTTCCAGTTTTCTTACCTGTACACCTTGAACCACCGTGTCCTGTGCTATGCAAGTCTTGCACTGTATTTAATCAACCCTCTATTGTAAAATACTTTAAAACGAGAATTTAAGTGAATCAATAGATAGCTTGGCATCAGAGTTCTTGTTCTAGTTTATTTTTTTAATTTTTATTTTTCAATTACAGTTGACATGCAATATTAGTTTCAGGTGTACACACCAATAATTTGACATTATATAACTTAATAAGTGATCCCAATAAATCTCATACCCATCTGACACCATACATTAGTTATTAGAATATATTGACTATACTCCCTATGCTATATTTTACATCCCCTTGACTATTCTGTTATTACCAATATGTACTTTTTAATACCTTCCTTTTTTTTCACCCAACCCCCTAACCCCCCTCCCATCTGGCAGCTATCAAAATGTTCTTTCTGTGTATGAGTCTGTTTCTGTTCTTCTGCTTGTCCATTTTTTTAGATTTAATTGTTGATACATGTTTATTGCCATTTTATTGTTCATATTTTTATCTTCCTTCTCCTTCTTTCTCCTCCTTCTCCTTGACCCTTTAACATTTCATGTAATACTGCTTTGGTGATGATGAACTCCTTTAGCTTTTTCTTGCCTGGGAAGTAATTTGTGTGTCTTTGGATTTGAAATGACAGCTTTGCTGGGCAGAGTATGTATTTTTTTTTAACTGGCCAAGTCAGTTAAACCTCTTTAGGCCTCCATTTTCACATATGTAAAAGCAGAGGATTTGTGTCTGAGGTCTGTCTTTGATTCTGGGTCACCTGATGACTATGATAATTGCTCTCTATTCTTGTTAGAAAAAATGGGGGAAAACTGAGGTTATATACTTCGCTTAGATGAAGAAACCCCTCAAAACTCCCTCCATCCCCTTCTATTCTCTTTAAGGCTGGTCTCAAAAGGAAGAGAAAGAAGTGGGGAGGGGCCATAAGAGGCATTTTGAACTGTTTTTGTGCAAGAAGTAAGTGAAACTTAATTTCTTTTAGAAAATACTTCTGTACATTTATTTTCACATTGTAGAAAAAGTTACACATTTTAAAAATATATATAAATAAATGAAATGGTACATAAGTCCACCACAATGAAAGAAATAATGTGTACTTAAAGAAAAGAATCGATTTCTGCCACACAAAAATCACCTACACTCCGCTCTTTTGGATCAAATGGCAGCGACATATAAATGCAAGGTAAGTACTGGTCCATGAGTGGTACAAAAACACCCTTGATGCAGTCACTTAGGAATTGTTGAAGAAAAAATAACAATGCTAAACAAAAAAGCTGAGAAGCTAAATAAACAGGGGAGTTAATCTACCCCTTCCTGTTTCCAACTTTTAGGAATCTAAGTTCATTCAAAATTTTGACATATACAACCCATAACTACTCTCTCTTCTTCAATAACTTCAGAATGGTAGTTTTAGCAACTTTAAAACTTGACAGCTCCCTGAATCTCCCAAAGTGTTTCTGTACTCTTCTTCAGAGATCAGCACGACCTTTATAAGGTAATACCATTCTCTCCCAGGATACGAGGAACCCTGAGGGAAATCTCTCCATTTATTCCAGAGAGACCCTTAATTATGATGGAAACTGGATGCACTATCCTAAAACTCTGCAAAATACTTTCATTGAATCAGCCAGAGAAAGGCCAATGGCCCAGGAAGTATAACTTTTCATTTTAATAATTTCATAGGTGCTGGCAATCACATCTTTGTGGACACTTTGTGGACACTTTCCCACTGCTCAGGATCTTTATCGGTTCCTATGTCTGAATTCAGATCCTTCAGAGAGACTCCACGCAGGAACAGGAGAGTCTCCGTGCTTTACAAGGACCCACCCACAACAGCTTTCAGACTGCAATACCAAGCTTTTGCCCAATCAAGAAAGGAAAAGGGGCAGTGTCCAGTTTACAACCACCTCCAATGACATGTTTTTTGGGGAATTTCACTTAATTTTCAGGCTATATAATTTAAAATATACATGAGATTGGAAACAGCAATCATCTTGCAGTGAGGACTGTATTGAATATTATTAGAAATCATGGATTTAAATATGGCTACATTTTATCAGACTAAATTAAGGTGGGCGTCTCCCTTTTCCTGGCGTGCACCTGCTGTGATAATCACTAGGTTGGAGTTTGCAGTGCAAGGTGTTCTTTGCTGGCAATGATATTTGGCATTTCCGTCCAAGGCCTGCCATGTGGAAGATCCATCATTTGGCCTTTGTTCGCTGGATTCCATAGTGTCCATCAAGGCAAGCTCATCACACAAGCCTTGAAGCAGGATGCTGATGGCACAGGCCATGCCAACCCACCCAGTTCCTATGACGGAGATCTTATTGTGATGAATGGCTTCCTCTGAAATTAAATTCTTCATAAGCTCACACTTGACAGTTGCCATCCTGGACACAGGAATAATGGGCCAAGGGCCCCTGAGTGGGATGCAGACTGGCTGGTAGGGACACGGTGCCAACCCCAGACTCAGATTTGCTCTCCCAGTGCCCACTCTCCAGCTGGCCCACAGGACTCCCACAGCCCAGCTCATGGCCATTCACTCAAAAGCTGGGGGAAGAGAATGGAGGAATGCAGCAGGCAAGGTTTGAGGTACGAAAGAAGGGAGCTTGTGAAGCTTGGCCACCTCCTCTGCCTGCTACTGCTTCTGTGCAAGGCCGTGAACCAATGGACAGCCAACCCCTCAGCGTGGTACTGAGGCTACGCAAGGCAGGCCCAGCTTGTAAGGTCTCACAGCAGACTCTATAAAGTATAGGGGTACTCGGAATTCGTGGTGAATTCGTTCTGGAACTCCTGACAAGCACCGAAACCAATGAGTACCGAGTGATGAAGCATTTTCACTTTCAGGGTTGTGTCATGACTCATACAAGTTCTAGCAAGTGCAACAAGTCTCAAGCAAGTGCTGAGTGCTGAAACTTTTTTTTTTTTTTCATCAAAATGTGACAAGTACCAGGTTTGGCAAGGTCTGATGATTACAAGTACCAAGGTATGAGTGTACTTTTTTTAAAAAAGAAATTTTATTGTATTTTTTCCGTCACCATTTATCCCCCTTATACCTTCTTCCACCTCCAGCCACCCTCCTCTCCCCAGCAATCATCACACTGCTGTCTGTGTTCATAAGTCCCTTTTCTTTCTTGATCCTCCACCCCAAACCCCTCCCAGCACGGTCATCCTGCTCTCTCTGTCTGAGTCTGTCTCTCTTTTTTTTGTTAGTTTGTTCATTAGATTCCACATATGAGTGAGATCGTATGATACTTAATCTTTCTCTGACTGGCTTATTTCACTTAGCATAAAGTTCCCCTTGTCCATCCATGCTGTCCTGTTGCAAAGAGTAAAATTTCTTCTTTTTTATGGCTAAGTAGTATTCCATTGTGTAAATGCCCCATAGTTGTTATATCCACTCATCTACTGATGGACACTTGGGCTGCTTCCAAATCTTCACTATTGTAAATAACACTGCAATGACATAGAGGTGCTTATATTCTTTTGAACTAGTGTTTTGGGTTTCTTTGGATAAACCCCCAGAGGTGGAATTGCTGGGTCATAAGGCAGTTCCATTTTTAATTTTTGAGGTGTCTCTATGTCGTGCTCCATGTTGGCATTTCTTGAGATAGGCCTGTAATGCTATGACTATCCTTAGGTCTGCTTTTGCTGTGCCCCATGGATTTTGGATCGTTGTGTTTTCATTTTCATTTGTTTCAAGGTATCTTTCGATTTCCTTGATCTCATTGTTGACCCATTCATTGTTTAAAAACATGTTATTTAGCTTCCATGTCATTGTGTATTTTTCTGTTTTCTTCTTGTGATTGATTTCTAGTTTCATAGCACTGTGGTCAGAGAAGATACTTGAAATGATTTCAGTTTTCTTAAATTTATTGAGACTTCTTTTGTGTCCTAACATGTGGTGTATCCTAGAAAATGTTCCATGTGCACCAAAAACAATGTGTATTCTCCTGCTTTGGGGGGAAATGCTCTGAAGATGTCAACTAAATCCATTTGATCTCGTGCATCATGTCTGGCCACTATCTCTCTGTTGATTTTGAAGGTACTTCTTAAATTTAAGTTTTATAAACAAAACTTCTCTTTAATATTTAATGTGTATAATTGGTCAACCCAGATTTTTTATTTTTAGTATGTATGCCAATTAAAACTGCTTTAGTTAAGTACTGGTAAAAATAAGGTTATATTTTCTGAAATGTAACATACCAGACCAGTAAGGAGCCTGTGCAAGATTTCCTTGCATATGAGGAAGTGGAGATCCTGTAGTACATTGTATTCGGCTTGAGA